TTAAGATTAGGGATGGTGCCATCAGTTGCCAAATAAAGCTGTTTAACTATTAAAGTGGGAACCACAAATGCTGTGAAATAAAAAAAAGAAGAAAAGATAAACCCAGAAGTCTTGGAAAAAACAATTTTACTGCATTCAAACCGTCTCTGCTGTGACCATCGACACCACCAGAAACCTTATCATGCAACCGGTCTTTCAGACGCTGAAGTAGCTCTCGGCAGCTTTGGGGTCGGCGTCCCAGCGCCGTCGGTCCATCAAAAGCACTCTGGGGTCGTCTGAGCTGTCACGCCTACAGAAGCAGGCTTCATTTCCCCTCGGTGAGCCGTTCCTCAGTTCTCGCCTCCTGACTGGCAAACAGCATCCGATCCAGTCTGGAGCGTCAGGACAGCTTGTCAATGTTGGCCAAGAAGCGCTGGGCCCACCACTCGTCCAGATCTATGGGCACAAAGCCTGGAAAGGAAGAAACGAGGATCGGACGCATCGGTTTAAAATAAAACCTAAAGACATGCTGTGCGATTTTGCTCCAAAAAAGATTAATAAAATCATGCTGTTCAGGATCGTGATTGGAATAAAAACTTGGTCAAAAAACTAATTTTTCATAGGCTTTTTTGCTGCCTTTACTGCCCTCTAGTGGTCATAATCAGAAACTACATAAGTTAACAAAACATGTCCACTGTTAGAATATTATTTTGTATTTAGATGTGAAAAATATTTAGCCAAAGGATTCCTCAATACTGCTTTTGATGCAAGTACTTTTTAAAACTTAAAAGTCTTAAGTACACAATTGATATGCTTTGCTTTACGGAGTTAAAATGTCACCATTTGGCAGATTTCATTGTGATAACATAAAACTCATGTAAAATATCTTGTGCATAAACTTTGCCTGTTAACTGCAATGAGCTTCAAAACTGGATATTAAAATGCGTTTCGCCTTCTAGTGTTGACACGCTTATGAACAAAGCAATAAAAAAAAATTGACTTAAAAATGTGCAAGTGATTTAAACGAAATAGTTTCTTATTTTCTACAGGGCCACATTCAAAACGCCCTTTGCAAAATGCCTCTAATTTCTTTTTAAAAACGATAAAAAAAAAAAAAAAAAACATAATCAAAGCTCGCTCTTCGTTTGAATAATTTGTCTGTTTCGTGCATTTGTAGCCGAACTGGAGGAAGACGACAAGCAGCTGCACTCACTGTCCATGTGTGGAGCGGCAGATGTTTCTTTGTAGTAAACCGCCGTCTGGGAGTCCTGCTCTCCTCGACCTTCCTCCTGCTGAACCACCTCCTGCCAAGCTGAATGAAAGCAGCTCTCTTTAACAACCGCATGTCTAACAATTAGTGCTCAATAAAGAAATATGAAAACAGTTCTGCATCAAAGTGACACACCCACAGGGATGGGGGAAGTGGGGGGGGGGGGGAAAAGCCCACCAGAACAAAGGCCACTGCAGGGAAATGTTTGTATTTTTAATCATTCAGAGTCTCAGCCACATGCAGTGTGACTGATTAAATCTATGGTAGCTGCAGGGATTTACGACCGTATCCAAAGCATAATCACAAACTTCAGTGTATTTCAATGAGCAATGAGATTTACATGATCTGAAAATTGTCTTAAAAACTAAAATGATGAATATTTGGGAAAATTTCACCAATTCTTCTTTGCATCACAACTCAAGCTCAGTCAGGCTGAACACTGACTGTCTGAACTTTCAATTCTTTCCAGAGATTCAAAACTGGATGAAGGTCTGGACTTTGACAGGGCCATTTCACAAACATTGTTGGTCATCCTGGTGAAGGGAGACCAAATCGGTGGAGCGCCGACTGTCGTCTCCCCCCTGAACTCTGGATCTCTGCTGGGCCTCGTTCAACCCGTCAGTTTAGAAAGGCCCCGCCTTGGCATGTTTGTAACTGAGCCGCACACTTTTCTCTGACTGTTCTGCGTGATATTCAAAGCTTCGAATATTGTTTAACATGTTCTCTAGGAAGCGCCTGCAGCTTGACCTCACAGAACAGGTGCATTTACGCTCAGATTAGATTTCACACAGGACTTCTATTGCAGGACTTCTGGAGGGAGTTTATTTATTTACTGGACTTTAATTTCCTTCCTCTTAAAAACCATAAACCACTTCGTAATGGTCTATTAAAACACACTGAAACTTGTGGCAGTTGTGTGAAAAACTGAAAAGGTTTGATGGGAACGAAACAGCAGTATTTTCTTTTTTACAGAGCTGGCTCTACTTTACGGCCTTGTCCAATCAAACACAAGGTTACTGGAGTTGTTTATGGGCTGCTGTGGCCGAGCTTCAATGCCAACAACTGGCAGGAGACAGAAAGCAAAAACAGCCGAGCCAAGCAAGGTTTCCCAGAGACACGGGGATTCTGTGAATGTTGGAAAAAAACAAAAAAACAAACAAACCCCAGACTGTTTCGACTCAAACAAATTCTCTATCCTTCAAAATCCAATCAGAGCATCTTGTGGGTTGAAATCAAAAGCCCCCCCACTCTAGCTCCCTCCTCTCAGCACTTTTGCCCTGACGAGTGTGAAATGTGGGTGTGAGAGAGTTTCTCTGCTCTATCAGTGTCAGAGCAGCTGTGTGGGAGTCGCCTTGGAAGGAAAAAAAAAAAAAAAACTGATAGTAGCCAAGTCATTCACAGAAACCAGAGCAGCGCAGACGATGAAAAGCTCAGTTTAGTCCTCCTCCTCCTCACCCTCGGAGATGAACTTCACATTTTCCTCGTGCTCCGGGGAGAAGGCCTCCTCGTGCCTGCAGTCAGCGGGGAGCGCCTGAGCGGGCTGATGGTGCCTCTTCCCGTTCAGGCGGTTGAAAACTATCTTGGGTGCAGGAAGGCTGGCAAGCGGAAAGAGAAATCAGAGATTTTGTTAAAAAAAAAAATAATAATAATAAAATAAATAAATAAATAACCCTTTGAACCTAAACTAACTCGAGCACGCTTGACTGGGCAGAAGTCGGATTGCAACAGCTGAATGGAGAGAGGGAGCATGTGCTGCCAAGGTCACACTCAAACACACTCAGGGTCGCGTCTGCTGCCTCAAAGTCATCATGGTAACGACAGGCAGAGAGTTAAGGTGTGTTCTGGATTAAGGAGGTTTAAACTGCTGCACCCAGATTCACTTGAGCGCACCGTGACGGGCAGAAAGTTCCTCGGGTTTAGGAAGCAGGTGAAAGAACACCCCCACCTTCCCTCGCCCCACCCCCCCACACACACACACATTTCTGGCAACTTGAAGGTTTCTCTCATTTTAAACGAGTGTAAAAAAAAAAAAAAAAAAAGAATCGGTTTGCTCACTCGGGCATGTTCCAGGACGTCTGTTTGTGCTTGAAGTCGTTTATTTTGCTCTCCAGCTGCTGAGTGGGTCCTGCAGAAACGATTAAAAACGCCCCTGAGAATCAGGAAAGTTAAGGTGTGAGGTTGCTGAAAGTTATAGGAGACTCACCTGTTCTCCTCTGGGTGACCAGTTTGCTGGGACCTCTTGTGATTGTGTACATCATGCGAGAGGAGATCCACCTGCGCTGCTCACAGTAATTTATTTTTTTTTTTTTGTTTCAGGCCTTTAAGGTGAACACATTCTTCTGAAATTTGAGGAGGGGGAAGAAAAAAACCCACACCCACACACACACACAGGCAGGCTGAGGCTGAGTTTCACACGCTGGCTGCAGAGTGGCCAAACTGTTTTGTAATCTCATGAAAGTGAGCGGTGCGCCGCGCAGCTCCTCTGTGGGTAAAGACACCAGCCGCCGTGACGCATCTCCGGATCCCGAGTCCCTGCCCTCTGATTCTGCTTCACCTGCAGACGCGAATCCGAACCGCTTGGTTCTGGTGAGTTTTGTCCTGTCACAATGTCACATAACCACACGCAGCGGCAGTCATTCACAGGACTCTGGACGCGTCTTGCCGACGTCCCCTACACGCCTCCTTTAACGCCTTAAAGAGACAGTGTCCCCTTTTTACGTCGTGTCCCTGCAGCCACAGAATAATACAAACTATTTTAGGAGGGAGGGTTGGGGGGGGGGGACAACAGCTATCGCCGATTAATACTAATTACAGTAACATGGTGGATGATCATCTGTTTTTTTTGTGCATGAAAAAAAGAAAACTTTTCTTCAAGTTTTCTTTTTGAAGAATAGTTGTGTAATATAAACAGAGGCCTGCCAACGGCCTCTGTTTATATTACACACACACACACAAGCTGATAACAGCTGTTTACATTTTACTATAAATATCGTTGACTTTTATTTGGCCACATTTTCATAAGTAAATTTCTGAGTAAAAATTCAGAAGACCTTAAACATTTAACTTACCCTCCCCGTCCCTCACCAAACATTTAAATACAAATGAAACAAATATCATTTTAAGACTCAAATGATGTATTATACAATGATTTAAAAAAAAAAGCACTTGCCTTCCATTCAGATGTTTTTATTTTTAACAAACATGTTGTAGAATGAACAAAAATTGTATTTCTTTAATAATTCATTGTCGAATGAATTTCTTTGGGACTTAAAGCCATCCAAACTAACTTGGTACTGCGGTACTGTCTAATTGCCCCTTGTGTTAATCATAAATGAACAATGATTGACCAAATTCTTTGGCTTAAATTCAAGAGTCAAACTAACCCCTGATTACTGCCAGACTCACAGAAGCATGAAATTACTTCAATGGAACCAGTCTTGACATTTCTTCAAAGTAAAGAAGAGGGGAAGAAGATGCTTCCACACCGACACAAAATCTCACTTCCTGCATCTGTAGCAATCCTTAATAAATTGAACAATTTGGGGAAAATTAATATTTTCTCTATTTCTAAATGTCTGTTTCTCATCTGCTGTGAAATCCACTTAAATCAGGGTGTGAAGTGCTGACTTTTGATAGGAGGAGGACAGCGAGAAAAGAAGTAGGTAACAGACAAGAAAATACAAAACAAGATGAACACAATAAAGGGGAAGAAATGGTGCAATGAAGGAAGGAAGGAAAGAGAAACAAAAAACACTTTTCCATACTTTTATTTTTTTGAATACTTTTTAAGAACTGGAAAATACTTCACGGTGCATTACCTTCAATCTGTTGTGGAAATTCAAAATACACATAAAAAGTACAAAGTTTAAAATCAGTAGAAAACCATTAAGCTACCTACATTTCAACACACTTTTAACTTGTTTTTAATTCACATTTATGTAGATGTTATTTTTGTTTAAAAATCTCACTAAGCCACTTTTGATGTTGAAAAAAAAAATGCACCATGACATTACATTAATCCCATATGATATATCTTAACAGTACAAACAACATCAGCTGTTTTACAGGAAGGAAAAAACAAACAATAAACAAAAACAAAAAAAACAACATGAACTCTGCAGTAAATCACAATGCAAAGTTTTGGTTTTGATGGGGAGTGAAGGCACCAGCTTCAGTCTGGCTGCGTTTTGCATCTTTCTTGTGCACGCCGTCTAATGGTGCGAAGTGCGTGTGTGCAGTGAGCTGATGTGCTGCAGCAGGAGGTCGCAGTGAAGGGGGCTCCTGTGTTTGTCCCTCACAGCCTCAGCCTCCCTCTGCAGAAGAGACGGGTGAACCGAGCTGCCGTTCTTCAGGACTTCTTCACACAAAAACCACACACACACACACACACACACACACACACACACACACACACACACACACACACAAAATGACACAGCAAATCAACTGGGCCTTCACGGTTTAAGGACACACACCAGTAATCTTTAGGTAAACAATTGTATTACTTTAAAAGAAAGTAATACGTTATTCTTCTGGCATCTTGCTCACAGTCATGACTTTGGTAATCTGAACTGACTTAAAATCAGGAAAACCTGACTCTGATTTAATGATGAGCTTTACCTGTTTACATCCCATTGTAGTGAAAACTAGAAACAATGAGGAGTAACAAAGAACCTTCACATTTATGAGGATTTTAAGTACGTTATATATGCTATAATTTGATCACGTGTTGTCAATGTACTTCAATTTTTGTTCAATAACATATTTTAATCCTTTAAAGTATCTTATTGCTTTAAAAATGACAGCAGAGTTAACCTGAATCAATTTTCTAGTGGAGCGACCTCACCAGAAGATGGAAGTAGAGCGCTTTCTCTTCCTCATGAAAAAGTTCCTTTTCTTTCCACAGGGAGGCGATAAATCCTTCTCTTTCACTTTTCTCCAACAATCTGTAGATTTTTGGAGGGGCGTAGCGGTTTTCCTACACAGGTGGACTCTTCGGCGATCAAGATATTAAAGTGCTCCTCCAGTGGTGACATGCCACCAGTTTGAAGGATTCAGCCTGTATTATACTTTCTTTTGTTGTTTAGGGGATTTTTCAGGTTTTCTTTAAGTGCTACTCAGTAGGGATGAATGTGGTGGGTGGGGGGCGGTGGGGGGGGAGGAGGAGGAGGAGTGGGGAGCAGACTCTGAGATAAAGAAGAACAATGACGGCTTGTGAGAAGAAGTGATTTAAACCCGTGCCAACAGGGAGACAAGGAGGGATGAGAGGGAGAGGATGGGAACGCTGTCCATCATTCTGTCAGGATGCGCTGCAGACATCCAGCCACTTCAGAGACGTGCGTTTGAAATATAAGAAGCGTAAGAAAAGGATCAACTATTAACCGAAACAAGCAGGGGGGTGGTGGGGGGGGGGAGAGACAAAGCAGAACAAAGAGCGGGGAGGGAACAAAGAGCGCTTCAAACACCAGGAAGGAATGCTTCCACGTTTGGGGAGCGGTCAGATGGAGACGGTCGCTCAGCAAGATGTGAGGTCCTCCCGTTTCACAAAGAGACTCCGAGGTGTCTGCGAACGCGCCGTGCTTTACTTTACAGAGTCCTGGCTCACCCATGTGTTTCTAAACTTCAAAACAATGGGATGGAAGCTCTTGACAGGTGAAGGAATACGTAAACTTTATAAGAGCCTTGCAAAAGTATTCGTGAAACTTTAATTTTCCACGTTTTGCCACATTACAACAAACGTCAAAATGTATCTTTTTGGGCTTTTAGGTGAGAGTACATTGATTTCAAAAACCTTTAGAAATTAAAATCTGAAAAGTGTGGAATGCATTTGGAAGCAGCCCCTTTTACTCAGATGCCCAGAAATAAAAACAGAGAAGCCACTTAATTTTACTGTGGCTCTACCAAACAAATTCCAACAAAATGCATTTAAGTTTTGAGATATTTATGTGATTTTTTTTACAAGCCCCGATTATGTTAATCACACGTTAATTAGTAGATCTGTTGTTCCTTATTATGCGAGTGCTCTCTTAAAGTTCACAAAGAGCCCAGAGACCGAGTTCTGTAGCGCTTCAGATGTTGTTCTGGGTGGTGGTGTGACTTCCTGGATGTGTTATTGATGCAAATATTTCTGGTAGGCCAGAAATTCATAGGAAAGGTTGGGCTTTCTAATCTGTAACACAATTTTTATTAGATGAGGGTAAGATACCCTGCTTTTTTTCCTACCTCGTGTTGTCAGAAAAGTTCTTTTTAATCGTTTTCTTGGTTGTGCAGGACAGTAATTGGGTCTGGACATGACAAGAACAGCTGAACCCAAAAAGGTTTGTTCATTAAAAATGATTTTTGATTCAACAGGGGGTCAGTTCTAAATAAATTTAAAAAAAATCCAGGTTGATCAGGATCACTTTTGTTGTCGTAATCGATGGCATCATGATTTGATAAAACACCTGGGATCTTTAAAGATGTGTAAATTTTCACTGCAGGGGAACAGTTAAAAAAAAAATAAAAACTCAACTTCAACTTTCTAAAAATGTAGAAAAAAATATTACTCAGCCTGTTTAAAAGGGCTTCAAATGTTAGAGTCACATTAGAAAACAATGCATGGAAGCTCGTCTTTTATCTGGTGAGCATGAGAATATCCCACCGCTCTCTTTGTCTTCCCGAGTCCTGGAGATGAGAGATCTCATCAGGAGGCCTCTCAGCTTTGGCAGAGCCGTCAGCGCTCGCCTGCATCCTGTCAGAAGTAATGACAGCTAACATTCCTGATAAGTCAGGAAAGAGCAGAAAGTCCCGGGGAGCCGCACACTTTGGGGAAAGCCGCTCGGATTTTTTTTTTCCCCCCCACTGACGGGGCCGTAAATCACAGCCGCTGTGGAAAACGGGGGCCGGGAGAAGAGGAAGGGATACCGACAGATAAAAGATGGAGGGATTAAGTGGGATGAACGTGTGGACAGATGTGAGGAGGTGGCAAGAAAGAGAGGAGGAGGGGTCGTCATGTGGTTATCATTAGGCCGGTCACACACAACTAAATCCATCTATCACAAGTGCTTGAACACCAACTTATTTAGATATTGCGACTGTAATCGGTGAAACTGCTCGGTCAGTGTTTGTTGGTGACCGACCAGCCTGGTTCTCGACGGATCTAAAGTACTTCGGCAGGAGAAAACACTCGCGCTGGTCTGGGTGATAAATTGAGTGGAAAAGAAGAATATAAGAGAGCTTTGAAATAAGAGAGAGGAGGTCCTGCTGGCTGTATTCCAGAGGAAGAAAATGTTTTGACAGAGGTCATCCTGAATTCCTCTCATCCCCATGAGTTAGATTTTTTTCCCTCTTTTTTTTTTTTTTTTTAAAAAAAACAACTAATTTCTAAAATATGAATCTGCACCTTTCTTTCAAAGAGCCAAAAGAAGAAGAAGAAGAAGAAGAGTTGTCTTATCCTATCATCACCCCACCCGGTCTCACCCAGCACTTGGTCCTGCATGGAGCTGTCAGGGTCATCCAGGTGCAGCAGGAGCTGCTGAAAGAGGAGCTGCAGATGGGGAGCGCAGAGCTCCGGGTCGTAGCCTCCGGTCAGGCTGGACAGCCACAGAGCGACGGCTCGCAGGGCGGCGCTGCGAACCTCCTGGCTGCTGTCGTCCAGACGCTTCAGCAGCTCTGCGGGAGAAACCTGCCGCTGTCAAGGTGACCTTTACGGCACAGGATGTTTGCATTTTACAGTGTCAGACTTCAACGTGTTTTATTGGGATTTTATGCGATAAAGAGTTCAAGGGGTCATGAATTCCAAAGCTGTAAAAAGTTTATTTTGCATCCAGCTGTGTGAAGGGGAAGAGGTTGTCTTGCCCTCCAAATGAAGTGTGGAGAGCCACTAGAAGGCAGAGATAACCTCCACCCCCCCGCACTCCCCCCCTGACCTGGAGAAAACAGGACAGCTTACCCAAAGTGGCCACATGTGCATATGAGGCAAAAAAAAAAAGTCTCCTACCAGGATAAATCTTGTTCAGAGCCTCATGGTGTAAACTGGTTCCGACGAGCTGGAGTGTGGCAGAAAGAGAGCGACAGGCCAACAGTCGGCTCATCTGAGAGTCTTCATCCAGGGCCGACAGCACCAGGGGGCTCAGCTTTTCCTCCAGACTCAGGAGCTGCAAGAAGACATTGACTGGAACTCAATAAGGGACAAATCTGGTCAGCAGCTGACCAAATGTGCTTTTAGGCATCGAAGTTCAGAACCTGGACCTGCAGCTTGGTGAAGCACACGCTTTAAAGATTCATTAAATCAATCTGACATGATGGTCTTAGGGACATTTCGTTTTAGTTTCCATTTAAAGTGAAATGTAACCCTTACCAGACTAGCATTATCTGCATTTTAAAAACAGCATAAGATTTAAAAACATAGTCCAAGTTCAACCATGACTGTGTGGCGAAGAAAGAAGGAAAGAAAAGAAATGCGTGAGAGGAAGAAAGAAACAAAGAAAAAGAAAATTCAAGATAAAGTCTTAAAATACAATCACTTTTTTCAGTCTTTTATTTATTTTCCATGCTAAATTCAAACTCCAGATTTTCTACGGTGTGTGCACGAGCCCTGAGCGGTGAGAGGGAACATTTTAATCACACCAGAAGTGTGAAACAGAGGTAATGGATGGACAAGGTGAAGCTGTGTGAACTCAGCCAAAAGCTACGATGTGATTACTCAAACCTCTGTCGCCCTGTGCGTTTGCTATCGAAACCAGGCAGGCAAAACAATAAAACAAAAAAAAAAAAACACACGGAGCCACAGTGGATACAAGAAGAGGAGGAAAACTTGGCAGATGTTTCATCCGCCATTACATCAGTGACAATCTGAGAGCGCCAAGTGTAACTGGAGCTGTAAATTGTTTTCACAGGGAGTAAGAGAGGAAACAATGTTCTTATAAAAGAAAGGCTGCTTGATTCACCTGTGGAAACACACACACACACTCACACACACCTCTTTGCGGTTCCATCTGTCAGGACGTGTTATTTACTTCATCTTTACCGTAAGCTCATTCTAAGCATCCGGTTTTAAAATCACCCGGCCTGACTTAATCTCCACACTTCGGGCTTTCTAATCTTGTGAGGATATTTAGGTGACACAAGATAGCAGCAGTTCGATCATGCACACCTACGCCATTCTCTCATTGTCCCGCAGGGCTTCGCACCAACTTGCAGTTGCGGGTGTGTCACCGAATTAAGCTGCTTGACCCAGTTTGGACCGACAGGTCAGCATGCAAACGTAGGGACAAGTGCTGCCAGATGTGCATGTGTTTGTGCGTGTACTGCGACGCCGGCAGGCAGGTGCGAGGCCGAGTTCTGGCAACAGTTCCGACGTTTAACCAAAGTCCAGAACAGCGCCGGCATTGTTCCTTTTGGGACAAAGGTATGTGAACCCGCTTGCCTCCTCGTGCACCTGCTACCTGCAGAGGCCAACTCCCAAAGCCAAGAAGAAAAGACGGTGGAACAACGTGTTTTTCCTCAACGATTAAAAAAAAAAAACTAAAAAATGAGTTGAAACAGAAAATCTGAAGTCGACCCCTGAGGGGTTTCAAGAATGCACCTTTCTCATTACGTCCGAGTCAATAAAAAGTGTTCTTGCTGGTTGTCATTCGACTGGAAAGGGACCAGAACTGATGTTTGTTTCCAGAGCAGGAGTCGTCCAGCACATCTGGCAATGAAATCATGGCGTTATAATGTCAATTCTTCTGTGTTTGTGTGTTTGCCCACCTGTCCAGGTGTAACTGCCCCTCTGTGCAGCAGGGCCAGCAGACAGCTCAGGGCCGAGGTTCTGACGGCGGCAGCGGTGCGGCCCGCATGCCACACCAGGTTCGGGAGGAGAACGTCCCGCAGGAACTTCTCCGTCTCGTCGCGGAAATGCCTGCGATGAGATGATGATCGAGTCAGTCCAAATTACATCACGTATAGCAGAGCCTGCCGTGTGTTAGAGGCTGCAAAAGAATTGAGAAAATGTTCCTAGTCAAAGTCCAGGTCCAATGAGAATCTATGACGAGGCTTTAAAAATGAACGTTCCCAGATGCTTTCCATCTAATCTGACTGAATTTGAGTAGCAAGCAGCAGGTATTTGCACTAATTCACTGCTGCAACATAACTGATGTGATTCAGTCATTTTCCCACACTCTGGAAGGCAGACTAGTGGAGAAAGAAATAAAAAAAAAAAGAAATAAAAACATCTGGGTTTCCCTCTCTTTCTGTTTTCCATGCTGGCTTCGACCCTCTGATATCAAACTATCTGCACCTGCGCTCTCTCTCCATCCCCCAACCAGCGATTCCTCCATATTTCAGCTCTGGAGCTGGACTGAGAATCCAACGGGTGCTTTCCCTGTCTCACAAAGTAACTGTAATGACACCAGCACCAGTAGGGGGCGACTGTGCATCAAAAATACAGCCAGAACTCTCACACCTCCCTAGCTAAGTTTCTTCACCGTGAAATGTGTTGACAGCTTGTCAAGAACGACGCCAGGTGTTGAGGAGTCGGACGTCGCTTTGTGATTGCAAGTATTCAAACTCCTAAAGGTGACACAGAAACTCACACTGGAACTGGTTTATTCTTTTGTACTTCCAGCCAGGCATCAACAAAGGGAGAATACAAGAATCAGCTTTAGCTTTAGTAGCTCGTTATGATCCTTTAAAATAAACTTCAGGAGTTTTCTAGATCACTCTCCAGGAATGTCAAATATACCACAGACCATGCAGAAAAAGTCCAGGGTCGGGACTCAAATTCTGGACTTTTTAACTGCAAGGTAAGAAAGCTACTAACATTCTGACATTTATTGCATCATTTTCAGATGTCATTTCCAAAACTCCCTGTGTGCTTCTCCCCGCTGTTCTGGAGCCCAGACCCAGATTCACTTTAAACAAGCTAAATGCCATCTGGTTTTATCAAACGCGATTTGTTCTCAAGTGACAAAAACATGCTCCCAAAATTCACCTGCTCTCGGTTCAAGTTGCTGTAGCTTTAAATTATTGGTGCCATTGGTGTATCTCCGTTATACACCTGGAGATTACTGCTGCATCCTCTATTGTTTTAACAGCTCACTGATCTTTAGGTAATTGGCTTAATAGTAGATTGTTAACACGTGTTATTAATGAATAATAATATGCTTTCATTTCATGATGACATAATAATATGTTGCCACTGCCATGGGGTTGACGGATGGTATTTTCAATGACTTCTAGAAACAAAGGGAATGTCTTAAAGCTCTCCTTCAGCAATTGATTTTTTCTTGAAACTTTTTCTTTAGAGCAAGATTTCTTTAAAAAAAAAAAAAATATATATATGCACCTTCTGCAGGCAACTACAGAATGGAAGAAAACCAAGCCACACTTTTCAGCTTTTTATAGATTACATGAATATGACATTGTAATCCGTAGATAATTTAGCTTCCACTGCTCATTACGTCTATCAAGTGACATTTCAACACAATTTAGTGTAACATGATGTACGTGAAAAATGCTGATTCATTGTCTGCACTGACATGAGAAAAACGCGATACTGTTAATACATCCAAAGGATTATGAACATCTATTAGCTATTAAGGTCTTTCTTTCTGAAAACTGACTAAAAATGTGTTACGAAGGCAGGAATGTCTTGTTTCAGCAGTTTTCTCGGATATGTTACAGATTATAGTCATTATGGATAAGGGCGCAGTTCTAACTGCTTTGTTATGGCTTGTTTCATAAAGAAATCCATATCTGAATATACCTTCCTTTCTTGTGGTAAATCTCCAGGCTTGAAATTAAAGAAGCTTGATTTAGCCATCTACACAAGCTTGAAAGCGCACTCTTATCTCTTTGCAAGCGGCACGTTATTTTGGTCTGCCACATCCAGGGGGAAAAGGTATAAACTTTCGCTTCTTGTACTTAACTTTCATGTTCAGCTTTTTAATCACGGCACATGAAAAATCCACATGAAAAACGACGTTACGAGGGCGTGTGGATGAAAAGGACCTTCCACGCAACTTTCCCTTTCAGGTCCTACACCGAGGTGTCATTATGTCATTTTGGGAGCAGAACAAAGAACCAAAGTTTTCTGCATGACTATCATTGTCCTCTTGATGACATGCGGCGCGCGTGTGGCCCTGCAATCTGCCGAACAAAGATCAGGCCGTAAATCATGAATGGAGGGGAATGAGTGGAAATGTTATGGCAGACCACACAGCTCCGCACGCCACGAGTTAAGCATTTGTTTGGAACCTTTTTGAAGGTATAACATGGTTTCTGTCTCTTGGTGGTTATGTGATTAGCAGAGATATATCTCAGGAATGAGGGTGCAGGTGGCTGAGCAGGGAGTGCACAAGGAACAGAGGCTTCTTTTGTTTTACATCAACATTTGTAGATAATCAGACCAATGTAGAGCTTCCAGTTTGCACAATCTTTGGCAGAGGATTTTGGCTCCAGAGCTCCTTCTGTTGTTTAAGTGACAACGATATTCGTTCTTGTTGGGCTCCTTGCGCTACGTTTCATTGTGCTCCTCATACTGTTTGCAACCAGTGGAAACAAACCTTTTGGCTGCAGCTCTAGCTTTTAGCCGTACAGTGTGCCGATTGTCTTTTGGATGGACAGGAGCAGCTGTTGTGACTGCTGGGGCCCAGAGAGGGCCCCCGCGTTTAAAGCATTCTTTCAGTCTGCAGCTTGACGTCCAAGCTGGCGGCCGCTCAGCTGGGGACTCCGAGGAGGGAGGTGGATACGGCTAAAGCTGTATCAAGACGCTCCTGCCGTCCCAGCTCTCTAATAAGTCAATAACCATTAAATTACTGTTTAATTTTTTTTTCTCAGAAGGCTGTCGTCCTTCTACAGGAAAGCCATTTATATCTCTTAAACTTTCTTCATTATGTTATGTAACAAACACAAACCTGTACGTATTTTATTTGGATTTTATGCGACAGAACAACACAATATAGCGTATTATTAAGACGTGGGAGGAAAAGGATGAAAAGTGTTGTATACATTGATATTCATCCCCTCTAAGCCAATAATTACAACTGCAAGCTACAGTTTTTCCAAGTGGCTTTAGGTCTGGAATTTGACTAGGCCATTTTAAGAAATTAATATTCTTTGAACTAAGCCATGCCATTGTCGCGCAACTTTTAGTCAAAATGATTTCCTCACCCAAATCTCTAAGGCTTACACACTGCAGATGGATTTATACAAATATTAGATCACACACAGGTGGTCTCTGTTTACTAATTACGTGAATTCTGAAAGCAGTTAGTTGCACTGGCTTTGATTTAGGCTTATTAAAGATTAAAGGAGGTAGACTAACGTGCATACCACTTTTTCCAGATTTATATATAAAGCTAAAAAAATAAAAATAAGGTATAATTTTTCTGCCATCTTGCAGTGTTGCATTGGTCTATCTCCAAAGTTCCACTAAAATCAATTGAAGTACATTGTTGTAATGTGACAAAAAGTAAAAAAAAAACAAAAAACAAAAAACAGGATAGTTGAAAACCTTGCAAGACGCAACAAATGGGTCTATTAGTAGCCAACATCATAAAAATCAACAGGATTATGCATGTGGGGCAGAAGTGCAGGATAAACAATGAGCAGGGCTACTCAAAAAACAAGACAGAATCAGACAAAGGCTGACACTCACCATTCTGCCTTTCTGCAGCGATAACAGGGTGGAAACTGTTTCACCTGGTTTTAAAGTTAGAGTGTGTAAAGCGTCTCTCTCACCCCTGGGAATCCAGTGTGTTTTTTGCATCCAGCAGCAGCTTGGCGAGCATCGTGAAAACACTCATCCTCATTTCCATGTCTCTGTTTGGCTGGAGGCAGTTATGGAGCAGAGGCATCAGCTGGCTCAAAAACTCCCCAATAACTGGACCTGCAACACAGAAACGTTCCGACGATTTTTTTTTTTTTTTTTTTTTTAATGCAAATCTGTTATAGAGAGGAAGTAACTATCAGATACAGTTTTTAACCACGCTGTCTTCACATCTGTTCTTTCTGATGAAGCATTTCAAGCCCTTTAAGACAATATGGCTGCAGAGTTGTTTTGTCTCTGAGAAAAAAAATTAAATATATATATTAACAACCTAAAGGAAGTAAGTAAACTTTTAAGTTGTAGAAATAGAAAATAAAATATTTATGAAACATCCAAGTTTATCCAACCCCAGAATTTTAAAATTGTATTTCTTAATAAAATAAAAATATATATTTTATGTCAAAAACAACTCAAATTAACAGAAATCTCAGTCATTTTGAGTCAACTTTTAAAGGATAAATAAAAAAATGTTTACATATTTACAGCTAATATTTCTGCAGTGGTGGGAGTTCAAATTATTCTGACATCAGAATAACAGATAACAAATAATCAAAACATGTAAAAAAAAATGCCAGGATAATTTAAGAATAATCAAATTATCCTGAAATCAGATGGGGGTTTTTTTTGTCGTAATTTTACATAAAAGTAAAACTTAAGAGGAAATTCAGTCAAGTCACCAACTCAACTTTGTATAAATCAAAGTAATTATTTTCCAATTTGCGGGTTTAGGACAATAGCGCATAAAAACACCACATCAATTACCAAATTAAAGCAGTTTTTTTTTTTTTTCCAACAGCCCTTGGGTCTGCATTGTTGTTTAATGACCAACCAAACCACTTGGTCAAAGTGAAATGAATTCTATATTTCATTCTAAATCTATAACTATCCTTTTTTTCCTGTTCAGGTTTTTGAGGGGAACCAAAGCTTGTTTCTACCTGTGAGCTCTTAGAAAAAGCAAAAACAGCATATAAACCAGCTGTTTTAAATTTGTTTTGAACACGGACACATGACGGAACGACACGGCAACTAAAACCCACACCCATTCCAATCCGACCGCTGGAGCACTATTTAAAAACAATAATCAGTCCTCAGTGGACTGGTGAGGCAGACGGTGACAAAGAGTGATGAGGAAATACCCAGACCTTTTGATGGAGTGTTTTTTTCTTTAAACAAACACCTTTTACAGGAAAGTAACTTAACCTGCAAGTATTTCCAGTTCCATTCATGCCCACACACTTATCTAACAGCAGTCCACCTACATGTTTACACAGCTATATATAGCGAGCAGAGTGTTTATAGTAGGTGATAAGTCCCTGTGCCCTGTTTGGACTGAACGCTGACCAGCATGAGAGGAGACAGGGGAAGTCCTGACACCAACTGAGGATGTGAGTCAGCCTCATAAAGGGATCAAAGGACAAAGGAGGAAAACTCAATAGGAGACAACAGGAATGAGTTAACTCGAATTAAACAATGGGATTTCATGGATTTCTTCATGAGTAAATGCAGACAAAGGAATACACTTCAACGTAATAAACAAACAAAAAAAATAATGATCACTTCTGCCAAGCACTAACATCTCTCTGGAAACAAAGGAGGGAAACGAGACCGTGCCACATCACAACCTACGAGACGTTCAGCCATCAGATGAAGAACAAAGGAGTGCACTGAGAACGTGAAACGGCAAGATCTGTCCCATCTCAGATCTCAGCTGTCTAAGAACCGCCATCTGATGCTTTGAAGACGGTCAAAGTCTTTGTATAACATCCTGATAAGACATGGTCTCCTTCTTCCACCTCAGTTGTTTTTAGGGAATAAAGATCTCATCTACAAAAGTGAAATGTAAATAAGAGCCTAAGTAGCTAAATCTGCTTGTGAGATTAATGCTCCTACTGTTCCTCTATATTGTCTTAAACAACCACATGGTTCGGACAAAGTAAAGGCAAAATGGTTCACTTAGAGAAATAAGATTGAAGTAAAAAACACACGCACGCACGCACGCACGCACGCACGCACACACACACTGGTGGTTCTAGCACCTTTCACAAAGTACTTCAAGGTGGGATTAGAGGGCCTTTCAGCCATTTTCATGTGTGGAGGAGGCAGAAATCCAGACACCTCTGTAATAATGTTTCTGTGTCACCAAGCTAGGTAGTCACAGGTCAAACAGGTTAAACAGTGACAGATATAGCTGAATACATGGCAATCCTAAAGTTTAAGTGTTTTTGCTACAACATCATTAATAATCCTTAATGAATTATATATTGCTAATGTGACTGGACTTTGAGCTATTTTGCAGAGAATAAAGAGCAGAAATGCTGGTGCCTTGCGCGTACCACAAAATGTTCACAACTGTAATTGCTGCAAAATGTGTTTTACAAAGTTTTCCAACACTTGAATACAAATGCATGCCACAGTGTTTGGATTTATATTTGCACCACATTTAAACAAAACACACTTCACTTGCCTTCCACTTTACAGATATGCTCTAATCTGCCTCGGTCTGTTACATAGAACCCCGATAAAAACCATTTCATTTTATGACTTTAAAAAGTTTTAGATGTATGAATGTGATCATGTTGAGTTTAATTAGGTTTTTTTTTTTTTTTTTTAAACCACCTTACCTATTTTTCTGACATAACTTCTGTTCTATGATGTATTGAAATCTCACCTGACTGCGTGAGGACGATATGCAGCTGGAGCCTCTGTGGGGAGTAGCTAGACCAGGTGTTGACAGAGGCAGACAACCAGTCCAGCAACTGTCCCATATGTCGCCTATAGAGCTCCAAGAGGTCCAAGCCCTGAACCTTACTCAAAAAATGTACGCTCTCCAAGGCCTGTGAGAAAAAAGGTAGAAGCATGAATACCATTCCTATAAACAACATAAGTTTGGTAAAAAAAAAAAAAATTAACATACAAAACAACTGGACAGAACAACTTTAATTTCAGCTATTGAACATAGTCCATTGATTTTTAAGGTCTAATTCCCAGAAGTACAAAAAAAATAAAAAATCAACCAATAAAGTTAAGGATGGAACAAAACTGGAGAGACAAAAAGGTTTTATAAGTAAAATCAATCAAACCAAAACTCATGCACTGAAGAAACACAGGGGAAAAAAAACAAAACACAGGAAAAACACAGGAGCTTCCAGAACATAAACACACACAGGTGAAAAAAACAAAAAACAAAAAACACCTCTATAAACCAAGAGGAGAGAAGAAGATGAGATGGCATGGCGAAGTTGGAAAGTCCTGAAGTTATTTTGTGGTCCCTGCGTCTTGGATCATGCCACCTGGCACCATGATAAAAAGTTTTGCTGCTGGGTTCGTTTACAACCCGTTAAAGTTCTCTGACTTTCTTCAGCCATTTAATTAAACCATGAAAAAGGAAGACTTTTATTTAGAAAATATAAACATCGGCATGTTAAATGAATAACTGTTATTTGCTGCTAACAATTAAATGATAAAATGTCAGCCAACATCAGTGGGTTAGCTAACATTTACTACAGTTAACGCTGTGCAAAGCATGATGGGGCTGTCCACCAACTACTAGCTCACGATCAGGGCAGAGAAACTGACCTTTAGAGCATCTCATAGTTCCTTTTCTCGTCCCTCGGGGCTGAACGGTGACAGAGAAACTGTTTGAGTCACCGCTTAACTTCCTCTGCACAAATCTGGACAACCCTGAGCTGTCCGCTGATGGGAAAGACATTCCCCATTTCTGGGAAAACAAGACTTCTTTTCCTCTGGGGTCCACGAATGCCCAGGGCCAATTCTCACCCTCCCTCTCTTTCCTAATCCATTCCTTCCCATCTCATCTTTAATACCGCCGCCTGTGTGAACGTACACACGGGATGCAGACAGACGTAAACACACAGTCACGCTGGTGGCCGGTGTGGTGTCTGCTCTGCGTCTGTGCCAGTTTCTTTCTGCTTCCCTCCCTGTCATTAGTCGACGTCGGCGACAAGCAGCTGGATGACACGCTGCCCTCAGACACCGACGGCTTCGCCTCTCACTGCTCCCGTCGGCCCCTTTGGGTTCGGAGACTGACCACTCGACAAACCCTTAATGCCAAGCGATGAATTGGGTTTTGTGAAGCCGATTATGAAAGCAAACTGAGCTCAGCCGGATGACACAAACCTACTGAGAAACGCCACTCATCTCTCCCCCATCTGTTTTTCCTCTATTCCGGTCAGTCTCATTTCTTTCTGCACACTTCATCCGCCTCCTTTCACCCGAGACTGGTTTCAAAGTTCCACACCAAAGGTGCAATTTCAGCTTCCCTGGCTAAGTGGGTAATTATACAGCTGGTCGTACTCACTTTGAAACTGTACAAATGCTTACATTCCTTGAATAGCTCTCGCTTTATAAAACCCGCTTACCTTTCTAATAAAAAGCAGGAGAAAAAAAAAAAAGAAATTGTGAAAGGTGTAACTTTAGAGTCCGATATTGCTTTTAACCGCGGCCTTTTTTCCCCTCCATCTGATCAGAAGGAATAAATTCTGTTGTGTTGCATTTCCTCACTTTTGCACTGAGTTGTGGATCAGTGGAGAGGCTCTGGATGGTGACCAGCACCTGCAGCAGCTGCAGGCTGGTTGAGCCGCAGTCAGACTCACACTGATGCAGCAGCACATCCACACATGCCAACAACTGCTCCAAGTATGTAACCTGAGGGAGAAATACATGGAAAGCATAATTACCACATTTCCTTCATACCAACAGAAGTTCACACACACTTGACCTGTTGATTCTTTTAGACACATCTCAATAAATTACAATTACAATCTTTCTGAAGTCTTTTAATTTAAAAAGATAAACTCATATTTCATTGGTTTGATACTTCCACAAGGAGGGCAAAGGTACAACATTATAAAAAGACATATTTGTAGTCGATATTTGTTGCTGTCAGAGGTTTTCCTGTTTCTGTTGTGCCGCTCCAAGACCAAGTAATATTTTTTAACTGTAAGCAAAATAAATAATAAATGTTCAGTAAAAGCAAAGCTGCCCCACAGCATGATGCAGCCTCCACGATGTATGTCTGCAGCTTGTCTCTTACTTTGGAAGGTTTCTGGTGTCACCTAAGCAAACTGATACATTTTATTTGTGGCTTCTGGTTCTTTAAATGTTGCACGTTTTATTTATTTTCAATTTTTATTAAGGTTTTTGATAGAACTTCTAAATATTTAGTCATTACTTGAAGATGTTACAACTTTGCTTTTTTTATGCTGCTGCAACACAAAGATCTTCTCAAAGAAACATTTTCTACTGTGGGAAAATCAAATTGAACTAAAATATTTCAGCTTCTTTTTGATTTCAGTAAGGAATTCAATGTTAAAGTTAAAGCAAAGCAGCCACAGAGCATAATGCAACCTCAACCATACATTATATTGCAATTTACTGTACATGATTTACTATGCCATCATTTTGGACCATGCGGCATCGGTGCAGATTTGTTCACTCCGGTATGAGGTTCTTCAAAAAGAGTTAATTTCTCCAGTCTGTGAAAATGCCACAAATGACTTTGACGGCATGGATCTCAGCAAAAATGTTGCAGCATGGAAAAACCTCCACAATGTAATAGACGAGCAGCAACTCTCCCTTTTTTCCTCCTGCAGAAAATAGAAGCAGAGCGAGTCTGGGAATGTGTGATTATCATCATTTGTCCGCTATTGTGGTGAGGTCATGTTTATACAAAGAGCTGCGGCTCGGGCTAATTTCCATGCCATCACTGGGATCAAGACCTCTTTTCCTGTTTTCACCTGTCATTGTGGGGCTTCGTGAGGGAGCGATTGTAACAGAAAGGTCTAAGTGAGTTTCACAATGAGATAATGGAGTTTTTTTTCTTCTGTGTGAGCGGTCTAATAGTGGTCCACAACACCTATTGTTGTGAACCACTGATCAGCAAATAGGAAGACAAATGCTTTCCTGCTGTGTGCTACGAGTCAGTGATGTGGGAATCCTCGAGTATGAATCAGCCTCTCAGTGGCTCATAGGAGAGGCTGCTGACATTTAAAATCTGACAAAAGTATTCACACCCCTTGAGCTTTTTTTTTTTTCTTTACGTTACAGCCATAAACTTCAATGTACTTTATTGGACTTGTATGTGATAGACTGACACAAAGTGGTGCATAATCGTGAAGTGCAAGAAAAAATTATTAAAGACTTTTTTTAACAACTTAAAAATCCATAGTAGCCCATGCTAACTCTGGAGGAGCAGCAGAAATCCTGAGCTCAGGTGAGAGAAGCTATTGACAGCACAACTGTTTGTGCACTTTACAAATCTGGCTTTCATGGAAGAGTCGAAAGAAAAAAAAAAACTATTATTGAAAGAGAGCGGTCATATGTTCTGTCTCCAGTTTTCTTTTTCCAGGTCTCGTATGGAATACAACAAAACATGGGAAAGCAAAGGAGGTATGAATACTTCTAGCAAGACACTGTACACACATTAGCGTACAAACACAAGACACACAGGTTACACGTGTGCAGAAAACACCCATCAGGGCTGGAAACGGGGTAAGAAAAACCGAGAGCGGAAAAAGTGCTGCAGTTTAATGACTAGGTTGACACCTGCAGGCAGGCGATGTACACCTGGTTATATTGTAATAGGCATGCTCCAGGGGCCTCATTACGCCATGTGGCGCATCTGTCCACCACTGTACAGTGCATCACTTGCATCCAGCCGGCTCCTCCGCAAGGAGCCTTAGCAGGCAATGAATTCCTATCCAGCGGGGAGTTAACCCCATCCTGCCAGACACACTGCTATGGCAACAGGGAAACAAACACCGGCAGGGTGTGAGAGTGTGGGTAGACCCCTTTGCAGTCGGGTAACACTTGCCCTTTTTGGAGCCGAGTGTCACTGGATGCGAGCCGTCTCCAGCTGGTGTACACGTGTGAGGCGTGCTCATGTTGGAAACATGTTTTTGCAATCAGCAAAATCCTTTATGTTGCAACAAAGTGAGATCTTTTTTTTTTTTTTTTTGACTAAGACGGCCTTCTGCAGATCTGCTCTGTGGGGTTATGCATTTTTCAAACATACAAATACTCATTCTTAAAAAAAAAACAAAACAGGTTGTTCATCAATACAGCACCTATGAAAAAGTATTCGCACTCCTGGAACCTTTCCCTCATTTTGTAAAGCCACAAACACTTGTCAATGCATTGCAATAGGGTTTTATGTGGAATATCAGCACAAAGAAACAGGGAATGGTGAATTAATAGGAAAATGGATCCATGGCATGACATCTCAAAATGTTTTAGAAACAAAAAAGTGTCAGAGCCATTTATATTGAGCCTTCTATAATCAGATACCCCAAATAAGATGCAGCACAAGCAGGAAATAGCAAGAAACACTCAATGCGAGAAAAAAAGTCAGTTGATTCGAACGCAAAGTTGTACCAAACCATAAAGCTAAGCTCAAAATTATCCATACATTTGGCAACTTTATATACAATGTATTCTTTCTACTGACTGGAGTAATACTGATGTTTAGGAGTGATCCAATCGGAGTTGAATTTGTCAAGTGAGTTAAAAATCTTATTTTCTGTTGGGAGATGTTTTTACTATAAATTAAAATCATTTACAATATAAATCAACAAATATTTAGCTTAATAACACATCAACCTCCTAGTGAACCAGGGTGGTGGCATGCTATGGGGATGATTTTCATAGGTAGTAACGTAACAAATGTTTTTTTACAGAAAGAATCTACAAAATGTGAAATTCTAATAAAAGTTTATGGTTGCAACGTGAAAAAAATGTAAAAAAAAAAAAAAAGTTAAAGAAGGCATCAACTTAAGCTTGAGCTCCAGCTCTGTTTTTCTTATTTCTGACTGGAATAACTTTGATAAAAGGAGCTCTCCTGTTATTCAAAAAGAAGACAGAGCACATACTGTAAATCACTGGGAAGATGGTAACCTCTGTAGCTGCTGGCTTTCTTCGTCTCCAATTTACGAGCAATATTTTTAATTCCCGCTGGCTGAGCATCCTGCCGTTTATTTTGGTACGCTGTCTTTCCCTCTTAACAGGAATACGGAAAAGAAAACAGAGTTGAAAGAGCCTGAGCGCTTACGTCGTGCAGACGCCTCGTATATCAGCTTTCTTTTTTTTTTTCTTTTTTTTCAGCTCCCAGCCGGGCCTTGAGGTTCCCACTACTTCTGCTTACTTTGAAGATTATTTATGTTTAATTTCTAAACAGGCATATACTTCCATCCAAGTCAAACATCATGTCTACTGTACTTTCTCTTTGCCTCCTGTTTGAAGTGGCATGTAATTCTATCAGGTTAAATCCAAACACTTCATAAATGTCTTGGCTATTAAAAATAAAATGAAAGGTTTAGTTTCCAGGACTTAGAGCTGCTATGGTGTGTTTGGAAGTAAATATATTTAACGAAATCATTTTACAACAGAAAACAAGCAAAAAGCATGATGCTAGATCTATTGCGGTCTAATTTACAGATAAAGATTCAGCTCTCTGCTGTGAACAATGCCTGTTATGAAAAGAATGTCGCAGGTGGGCTTATCCAAACTCAGAGCTCTTCAGGGACAGCGCTCGCTACGCTTTGTCCTCAAAAACAGCGACAGAGAAAGATAGATGGAGAAGGAGACGAAGAGGAAGCAGAGGTCTGCCCACATCTGTGCGGCAGCGTGTGACTCTGCCGTCCTGTTAATTCTCCGTCCGCTTGACCCCTGCCGGACAGCGACGGGGGACGACAGGAGGTCGGTTTCCCCTCCTCATTTATCACCGGCCTTGACCGAGTTAGGCTTTAAAATTTGAAGGCACGGCTGAACTGTAGCGGCGAATCTTGTGCGCTGCCTCGCCTGCTCCGCAGGGCCATGACGGGGTCACGTGAAATTAGTGGATTTTTGCTATTATTATCTCACAGAGGAAATTCTTGAAGCCCAGTCTGAGCGAGAGGAATGGGGCCATGGGTACAGATGAGTCAGTTTTAAAAAAGCGTGGGCAAAAATAGCCCTCTGCCAGACAAACTTATTTGGTGCAAGAGCAAAAAAGATGTTTAGACTTTTCCACAAGTGAGGAAACTTTTTCTAACAACAATGTAGATGCAGCTGATGAGAGACGCGCGAAGGCAGTGACGGTCTGATCAAAGTCTTGAAATATTAGATTAGAAAAACATCACATGAGCTGGCAACCATTTTACCAGAGTGAGCATGTTTTTTTGGAATTACTCAAAAACAAACCCGACGAACCAACTGCTTTTCTTGGATAGTCTCCAACTTGTGACCCTTTTTAGCCACCTTGTCGTAACAACCTCCTCTTCATCAAACGTTTCAACCTGTCTATCATTATTCTTGATCAAATGGGCTAAAGTAAGAGCTACAGTACATTGTAAACAGGATTATTATACCAATTTCATGCTTTTTAAGAGGTATTTGATCTGCTCTTAAATGCTTTTAAGAAGACGGAAATTAAATGATTATTTAACCAAGTGTACAAATCTATTACAGGTTTTCTCAAATTCACACAGCATGGATCAGATACATGCATCCATCACCACTGATACCTTTGGTAAATTTTATTCTTACGCTGTAGAGAAACTATGGAGCTACTGAAGTCACCAGTTAGGTTCTGGAAAAGTTCAGCCTGAATGTTTGACCACTCTTCTGACCAGAAGTTGCAGGGCTCGCTAAAACTGCCTGGTTCCGTGGCACAAACCTCAGTTTAATCATAGTCCACTAATTTTTAAAAGGGTTGAGATCAAAGAAGCAGATTAAGGTTAGCCTGGTTTATTCAAATCAAGTTTGATGTGTATTTTGGATCTTTGTCCAAAATATCTTTGTCTTTGAACACCAACTGTGTCAAAGTTTCAAAGATGTAGGAAACAGGTGGCCTCACTAGGAGTCCTGGATCTTCATTCCATCTACTATTTGCAAAGCACAATAATACAGGATAACTAACCCTAACATCTAATCGTGATACTATTGCTGAGTATTGTTTGCAAATAAGCCAAACTACATGTCAAACAATGTCCCCAACACTCTTTTTGATCCTTAGTTTTTCAACCTGCCACTAAACAGGCAGGTCAAATAGATTATTGGGTGCAGAATATGCATCCATGGCACCAAAAGCAAAGATTCCTGGATTGTGTTTGGTCATTCTAATTGGTTTCCTTTCTTTTAATGGGGACAGTTTGGGTTTGATGGCTGAAACTTTGGGTGTTTTCACATCTGAAAGTCCAGTAGACTTGCTTTGATTGGGAACCAAAACTGCAATATTGGGAGTATTTTCCATTGATGTGGTTTGCTTTCTTACTGCACTGTGTCAAACAATCCAAACTCTTTGAAAAACCTGTTCGTCTCCTTGCCTGTGGTGGCACTGCACCACAAATCACTCCACCAAGAACCACTGAAGGAAATGACACAAAAACCTCAGAAGAAGACATGAGATCAAGTTCCTTTGCAAATTATAAACAAAAATGGAGTAGCGTCAGATTTTAGAGGTTGTAGAATATTTTTTTGTTGTTGTTTTAGGAAAAGAACATGTGCCATTTCTCCAGCTAGGTATGCACATCTGTTCAGGTTGTATTTATCCAGAATGCCCTGCACTATAGACCGCTTCCGACTTTTGGATTGACCTCCAGTCCACTTGCAGCCACATATGCATTTGAGAGTTAACTTCAAACTCACTGAGATCTAGGTTTTTAGGCGGACCAGAGTTGACTTTTTTGGTCTACATCAGAGTGCGATTGTGCATTCACACCTCTCCAATCGAACCAGACTTTCGAGGCAAATGATCCATCCATCCATCCACCCATCCATCCATCCGTCCTCTTACACCCTTGTCCCTTAGTGGGGAGGGCCCATCCATCCTCTTACACCCTTGTCCCTTAGTGGGGAGGGCACTGGTGCCTATCTCCAGCTACCATTTCGGGCGAGAGGCAGGGTACACCCTGGACAAGACGCCAGGCAAATGAACTAGAGTTTGATTAAAGCGGACTAAACAGGGCTAGTGTGAATGGACCCTTTGAAACCATTTGATGCTCTAGTTGGACAAATATCCCAAAAACACATTAAATGAGGCTGATGTTAAGGTTCTGGAAATCCCTGATCTCAATTCTATTAAAAATATATGGACTGTGAGTCTGTGTAAACTTCTGGATACCGCTAGGCTTTTTAATGGGCACAAATGACTCAGATGGCCAGAAGTACTTATGAAAAGTCTGGTAAATAAAACTGGTAGACCACATTCTTATTCAGACTCCAGTTATCCTCTGCTGACCTGCTGATATTCCTGGCAGACTTCGGGCTGCACCAGGGTGTCTACAACCTGCTGGAGATGTGGTTTTAGAAGCGGTTTGGAGCCGCCTCCCAGGACTGCAGCGAGAACCATGAGGGGGGTCCAGGGGTGGGAGTGAGTGCTCGGAGTCGTCACATGTTCAAGGATCAGCTTCAGGAACACAGGTGGGGGGACAAAAGTCCCGATCAGCTTAGCAGCTGCCAGGCACTGTCGGTGAGCACAGACAGGAAAGGAGACAGAAAAAAAAAAACAGGAGACGTCAGGAAGGAGAAGAGGAGGAAGTCCTTTTTTTTTTTTTAATCTACCACACATCAAAGGTCTTGACAATCCATTATTGTAAACAGGTGCATCCTAAGTCCTTGAACTCTGCTTGGCCCAATTTAAAATACTCCCCCCCCCCAAAAAAAAACAATGAACTTAAATGAATGTTAAACAGCTGACTCAACAAATCCCTCCGTCTCACTAAAACTTTTATTGTTGCCTTAATTTGGATTCATAAAACACACACACACACACACACACACACACACACACACACAAAATAATGTAGCCCATCGTTCCCAGCTGATCACAGGTTTTCTGGGACTTACGTTGTTCACCACGTCCCTCTCTGTGTCAGTACAGGCCCGGTAGAGCAAGGCCAGCAGAGGCTGCAGGTGCTGCGTGATGTGGTCCTCGGCGTGCAGCAGCAGCACAGAGAGAAGCTGGGACGTCCGGACCCGGGTCGCCACCAGCCAGTCGGTCACATCGTGGCCGATAGCTGGTACCAGTCTGCTTAGGTTTCTAACCACCAGTTCTCTGCAGCCCAGTCCTGGACGCTCCGCTGAAGGAAAAAAAAAAAATTATCGTAATTGAAAACTTAGAATAGACATTCAGGTTACGACGAGGCTTGTTTGTAAGACTAAAAGTACTTCATCAAAAGAACAATCTTTGGTCAATTGGATCACAAACACAAAAAGACATGAATCACTCATGATTGTATTTAGTCAAGTTTAATGAATGGCTGTGTCCAGGCCTATTTTTGAATAGTCGCTGAGTTTTTGTGTTCGTCAGAAATAGAAATGAAAACAAAAAGGGTGGTTAGAAAATGACAAACACTTTGTGTTCTTCCAAACATTTTCAATTTCAAGATTGTAATTTGTCAGTGAAAACTTTCTATAAAACACCCGAGGTGGAATTTTACCTCGCAATTAATGTAAAACTTATAACTATGGGATGATTTAAATCAGCAGTGCCAAGGTCCAGTCCTCCAGAACAACCGTCTTGCGACTTTTAGATTAAGCAGAATATTCTCATGCAGGTCTCCAGAGGCCCAGCAATGAGGCATTTCTTTGATTCGGATGTGTTGGAGAAGAGATCCATTTAAAATTGCAGGACAATAGCTCTGGCCAACTGGAGGTGGAAAAATCTGCACGTACTTCAGTCACTCTGTGCGTAAACATGGTAGAAACATCCTAAAACTCTTGCAGCTGTAATTGTGAAATCCAGCTCTATAAAAGCGCTAAAAATAAACCAATTCATATATTGCAAAAATATTGATAAGCATGTGTCTGATTCCTTCCAATTCACAAATGTGCACTGTTTCGTTTTGGTTTTTCACATAAAAACCCAACTAAACGCACTAAATTCTGTAATTATAATAAGGCAAAATGTGGAGAAAGATTAAGCGTCGTAAAAAAAATTTAAGCACTGTAAAACATGGAGCACATTGGGAATGAATTTCATTGTTAATTTTGATTTAGCCAACCCTCGCTTCCTTTCTCTCTTGTAGAGGCACACTGATGAGAAAGGAAGCAAAGACTAACGGCAGACGGATATAAATCAGACAGGCAAACCACAACAAGCCTAAACAAGACCATTTCTGGATCTCTTTTGGTGTCTGACAGTGACCTCTTCACATGGGGTGAGCCGGCAGATTTATGGTGGCAAGAAAGTGAAAGACAAAAGGAGGAGGAAAAGAAAAGCCTCCTCTTTTTTCTTTTCCTTCTGTAGGAAGAGCTGGTTTTCATCCATAATGTTGCTTTGCTAGCTCTGAGGTTTGGACAGAAGCTTTATGACAGTGCTGAGTACACTCACCCCTGGCTCTTAGGTAACACATGGTGACCATGTTCAGGTTCAGGCTCATTCTGTGACCTGAGGCAAACATTAATCTTTGCAGGCCAGTGCCTGCCCTGACAACATAACAATCATAGAAAGCCTATTTTCATAAAATGGAATAACCAAGAGAAGCTACAACAAAAATGTACGGCTTTATTTATTTATCTTGTTGCTATTACAGTACCTCAATGTAATGTGCAGATGTGAACATATGAAAAAAGATCAGATTAAACTCTCAAATTATTATTTTTTTTCTTATTGGTTTGTATTACTTAAAAAAACAAGATGATTTTTTTTTAACTGTAGCTATATAAATTAGGATTTTATTACACCTTTTAAAGAAGAAAATAAATAAAAAACATTACAATTTAAAGTGGCAACATTTGTACTGATCTGTGGCTTTACAAACTTCTCAGAAAAAAACACTAAGGTCATCTACGCTATACTTTGGGATAGTGCAGTTTCACTTTTTAAACCCAGTTATTAAAAGAAATAAAAATTTTTATGATATTCCAATTTTTTTGGAGAAACCAGTTGCAGCTCCAGTTCAGGGACAAATACTCTGATACTTAAGTTCTCCTATCAATTTAAGGCATGAAAAATTGTTGTTTTCCAATATAAAAAAAAATCACAATTGGAAGGTGCGCAGACAGTTGATTAAAATAAGTTCAATCAGAAACTATGGTGACTGTAAAACAATAGCCTATGGTCTGCAGCAGATTAAAGGGACAGCTGGTATTTTTAGTACAGAAAACACAAGTTATTTTGAGACGGGTACAAACTTTTTTTTTTTTGTGCATTTTTTCAAACAAGTGACACTTTTTCACTGAAACGCATAGAAGTTGAAAGTAAACATATTATTGGTACAGTGACTGACCTCCGGGTGGATAATGAGGAGGTGGGCTGAGGAGGAAATCCATTTTGTCCTTTATGTCATCCTCATTTTCCTTCTCCCACTGCAGGCCTGCTTGTTTCCACAAATCAGCTGCTAACAGTCTGTAACATTTGGTAAAAACATCCCATATTTCTTAGTTAACCACTCTCTCAAAGAATTCATTGAGATTTCCATTATTGAAGGAGAAATATTTAAAACCCCATTTTATTCAGCTTGAATTCTATGCTAAATGTGTAGTAGGGGTGCATTTAATTTTGCACTCTCAACTGTCTAATATTTGGTAAATGATATTATTTTGTCAATTCAAACCTGATTTCTGGGATCTCATCGCTGATGCTGCTCAGCAGGAGTGGAACGAGTTTGTGGAAATATGAATATCGATCTCTCATGTTTAAAAGCCAGTCACCAACAACTGCAGTCACAGCTTTTCTCACCTGAAACATGAAAGAAAAATGAGGAGCAGTAGAAAAAAACCCAACTTTTTTTGCTTGTTTTACTTCATATATAAAATAAGAAAATCTTTGCTGAAAGGTAAGAATGTAGTTTTTCTACAAACCATAAAGCCCTCTTTACCTGTGTTCAGGGTGCACACAGGTAAAGCTTTCTAAAACACGCTTAATAACAAAAAGAAATACCTGAGGTGAGTCGTCAAATAGTCTCTGTGCGAGGTGTGACAGCACATCATCCACGTTTTTTCCGCTGCCATGCTGTATGACTGCTCCAGTGGCTTCGATGGCTGAAACTCTGACCCGCGAATGCTGATGACTTATGGTTTGCATGAGAGGCTTTACCAGACTCTCAGCTTGCATGTGAAAATGTTCTAAAGGAAAGAAAAAAAGCGGATTTCAAAGCGTTTACGTTTTAAATTTTACATTCGGACTTTCTGTCGGTATCAATTTAAATGTATTTAAGGCTCATTTAATGTTTTTTCATTTCACAAGACCTCACAAGACACAAAGAACACAGGATAAAAAAAGAAAAGGATATAAAAAACAAAACAAAATCCCAGTGATGATTCTGGCAGTAATCATCGCTAGTGTTGCTGGAATTGAGCTAATCAGCTGTCAATGCTAAACAATTTTGTGGAATAGTGTCTATAAGTAGATTTTGGCTCAGTCTAAATCATTTGAGTTGCATTAATCCAAAGTGTTAAGGAACAGGAAGCCAGATTGGTTGGACCAGACTCCTGAGCCAGTTAAAGGTAAAGATGGATGACACATCTACTCTTAGCATTTCCAAACTTCCCTTTCAATTTGATTTAGTTCCTGCAAACACTAGTTGCCACCTGATATGAAATGTTTAGAAGGCATTGAAGTAGGCATTAGCACAATTTTCCGAATTATTCAAATGTTTCACCACTACCAGTTAGTTTTATTTTAAACAACCTGCAAGTCAGCTTCAAGAGTGTTTTAAGAAAATGAAACCAAACTCTACTTTTTCTTCCAGTCTTCACTGTCTGTTTTTTATTTTTTATTTATTTATTTATTTTTTTGTGCAACTGAACTAATTCCAAAAACCAAATTGGACTTTTCTGCAAGTGTGACAAAAACAATGTAACTTTGTTCCTGTTGCAGGAGCAACACTGCAAATTTTGTATTAATTTAATGTGCTTAAAAATAACAGAAGCGGCAAAAGAAATAACAAACACTCATTTGAATTTAATAAATAAAAGTTATAGTTAAATCGGACTGATTAATCTGACTAGTAGTAGCTTTAAATTTAAAAAGGCATGACAGCCTAAACAACTTCTTAAAGCATTATACTATTCTCTTTCCATCCTGACTTAAAAATATCCTTTCTTGTCATTTTGATAATAATGTCTGACCTGGAATCATCTCAATACTCCAGCTTTGAGACTAACCGAGAATGGAGAAAAACAAAACAAAACAAAAAAAAAACAACAACAAAAAACTAGCAACTGTGGCTGCGCAGTAGAGAGTACTGTAAACGTGTGTTGTATGAATCCAAGGTAACCAACCTGGCACAGACTTTGCAAAGCCAACAGTGCATCTGCAACTTTCCTTTTTGACATCCGGAAACGGGTCAACGATGGTTCTCTGCAGAATGTTGATCGTTTCGTTCAGATAAGGCGCTAAATGTTTACCACACACCTCCACCACCAGAGTCAACAACTCCACAGCCGACAGCCGAAGCTCTTCCGACGGCTCCAAGATTTCTTTGTCGCCGAATCGCTGACCCAGACAGGGCATGAGATAGGGCAATGCTCCCTCCGGTTTGGGGACACAACGAATAAACTCTGTTATGATCGCAATGGTGGTTTCTCTGCATTTCTCCGTTGGGTCTGACAAACACTTGAGGAGAGGCTTGAGCAGAGAAGAGAATACTTCCTGTAAAACGCCGCTGGGGAGTCCTTTATTCACAGTCTCCTTCCTTATCGACTCAAGAGCCCTCTTTCGTGTCGCCTTGTTGTCCTCGTTCAAGCAGTTTAAGTGCCGGCTGATACCTCTCAAAACCTCAGAGGCAGCATGCTGGTCTCCAGCCGCTGCCATCTTAACTATCGCTATGACAACCGGTTGCTTCGCGACAAACAAACGTCTGCTTTACGACAGCTTTAGATTCAAAATCTCAAACTTTATTGACGTTTACAAAGTAACAAAATGCAACATAAATTTGCAGGACGTACTACGTATGTTTTGAGGCCTTTTTTACTTTTTGAAATTCAACTACATTTAACCATTTAATGTGTAACGCATAAGCAAATTGAAGAAGAAATATATTAATCATCAGTTCTCAGTTAAATTTGCATCATACAATACCTTTGGAAATTACAGGGCATGTCCCATCAGTGGTTAGATTTTATAAACTTCAGATGACCTTTAGAGAATATTCTCTCAATTCTCGTAAAAAAACCGTATTGTTTTTATATGTTATTTTTTTTTATCTGCGTAGCCTACCATTTAGAGAACAATATACAATAAACAGTACTATACCTATAATGGTTTTAATATGACAAAAAATGTAAAATAAAATTGCAAATGTTCATCTCTTTTCCCTCAATTATTATTTTGTAGTGATGTAAAGTTATTTTTCTTGTTCCATTTTTTAAAATAACCGAATTTGCACTCAATTTTATACATTTTTGTATGTCTGATTTTTCACAAAATTTATTTTATGACCAAACAATTACCTATTTAGTAAGCAATTTACCAAAAACATTTTTACTCTTAATTTAGTCATTTGTGTGTGACTACTTTTTAAAACATATTGAAGTAATTTGACCTTTGTTTTTCTATTTAAGAGCACTGGTAGAAAATTCAAATGGCTCAAATCTAACTAAAGTCTTAGTGATGTTTCCCCCTCTGTGCTGATTGCGTTGCCGCGTGCCAGGTGCCGCCGTCCTCGAGAGAGACGCTGCGGTCGAGGGGATGATTGACGTCATGGAGACTGACGCAGAGTGAGCGGACAGGAGAGAGAGAGGGAGAGCAGCAACAGCAGCAGCAGCAGCAGCATCCCAGCTAAACAGCGGTACATCATCAACCCGCCAACCCCAGCGAGGTGTTTTCTAACTGAGCATCCTCCACAAGCAAACGGTAGGGACCACACGCGACAGCTCCAACTGAACCGTTCTTATAAAATAGCTTTTCATACAATGGATGGGGTCGCTCTTTTGCTTCTATGATGTCGGTAGTCGCTGTAATTCCCCTTCGTTGTGGTTTGGGGCTCATCGTAAAGCTAGCTGTTAGCTTCCCTTTGAATGCGGCTGAACAGGTGCTCACTTCACTCACAAGCGACACTGTTTACATTTAATTTGCTACTCATGGACGCTGCTGCACCATGCACTCTGAAAAAAAAAACACAAAAAAACACAATGATACTGTAGATGTCATTGCCAAAGTCATAATCTGATGATGCATAATGCAATAATACTCGTACTGTAAGCGTAATATACCTTTCAGGAAGTGAAACAAGGTGGTTATCTGTGTTCCTCTTCCTGGATTGTCAAGATAAACCATGCTTCAGCGTGTTATTTGATCTAGGCTATTTGTAGTCTGACAATCAGAGCTGTTGACACATGTCCTGCATCTTAACATAATACAATTAAGTAACATACAGTTACCCAAATTTAGAAGAAAACAAAACTGTGTTTATGATTGAAACATAATCTTTTATGCAGATCTATTTTTGGAATGTTACTATTAAAAGCTGGATAATGGGGAAGAATGTAAATAAAAACAATTAGAAATTAAAGCCTGTAGATGATAATTTAAAAAGCATCTTCATTAAATTCTAAAATCCCTTGTGCCATTATTGTCTGCTTTAAAGATTACATACTTATATAAAATATAACTGGGATCATACAACAAGCACAATATAATCAAGGAGTAAATACAAAACAAAGGAAACAACACAATTATCATAAGAACAACTCAATGAAACTAATTTGAGTGAACTGAAGCAGAAATGTGGTGCTCATATAATATTGATTATTGCACTCAGAATAATAATGTATTTTTCCCAAACAGCCATTTTTATATATCTTTCATAAGGAGCGATATTCCATCCAGCTGACCTGCAGTGCGTAACATTAGGAAGAGAAGGTGTAGCTCTTTGTTGCTCAAGTGACGAGTGTAATTCCCAGCTCACTTTCTAAGGTATCTCATTCAAAAGGTCTGTAAGCTAGGGATGTACCGATGTAAACGTCTAGACCGATATCTATTTTTGATATCAGTGCACTCCTGTCCTTTTGACTCTGAAAAATGACCACACTGCTGAAATTGCTTCTTGCTTCAGTTAAACACCCAGCAACCCTGCATAGCATCACTAACGGTGACATCTGCCTGAACAGTTAGCGCAGGGCCACCCCCATTTTATCCTGAATCACGTCCATGAATGGCAACAGGACAGAATGTTGTTGGCTCAATTATTCTTATAGGACTGATGCCAATATGTTATAAAATGAGCAACATAGGCCAATAGCAATGCTAATGCCGATATATTGTGCCTTCCTACTTTTAGCTGAATAAATGGTGTGATGTAAAATAGCAACCATAACTTTTTAAAACTGTGATTTGGGTAACCTGCTAATGCTGTATGACTATGACTCCTACTCTTTTTCTGAAAACAAATGCTTTTCAAACCACAGCGCTTTAAATCTTTTTGATTGAGTTACAGATAGAAACAGACATTCTGCTGTAATGTTTTGGTCATTGTAGCTTGGCATTATCATGCTGAAACAACTCAGATCCTTAAAAGCCATCATCTGCCAAGGCGTACATTAGTATATGCTGATCAATCTACAGATGTTGTTTACCATTAATTGTGCCCTAAAGCACACCATCTTGAAGAACATCCTGTATTTTAAATGTGCTAAAAATGGTTATTCTGCAGTTCAAATTACACGCCACTTCTAGGACTCAATATTAGGCTATGTTAAATTATGCTTATAAGCCAATCAGTCTCACAATAAGTAAGACATGAGAGCTAGAAGCTAAAATCAAGAATTAACAATAGCTACCCCAAAAGCCTGTGGTATACATTGGTTTACTGAAGATGGATGAATCATAGCTAAAATGGGAACAGTAATCAAAGGAACACTATTTTAGCTGGGACCCGGTCCAACATGCAAGTTGCATATTTGGAAGAAGCTAATATTTCTGATCAGTCGGAAAGTTCAACAGACTCAAAACACATATCAGGTTCCTTAGTTTCATTCAGTGCTGCCTCTCTTGCTGATAATGACGTAATTTTATACATCGATTCCTGCTATTCTGTTTTTTTTTGTTCCCCTCTTTTTGTGCTTTTTGAGTTCTCTGTTTTTGCCCCCTTCTATCAGTACTTCCTGCTTTCCCCAAGCTGGCTACAGCGTTCCTGTCTCCTCTCTGGTCTGCTTTGCCTCCCCTCCTCTCATGGTCCACCCTGTTTATATCTCACCACCACAGAGATAAAAGATAAGATGGCCACCTCCTCCTCAGCTCTGGAAGAAGACGAGAGTTTGAAGGGGTGTGAAATCTTTGTGCAGAAGCACAACATCCAGCAGATCCTCAAAGAGTGCATCGTGAACCTTTGCATTGCCAAGCCCGAGCGTCCTATGAAGTTCCTGCGGGAGCATTTTGAAAAGCTGGAGAAGGTTAGTGAAAACGAAAAAAAAAAAAGAAAAGTCTCTAGTTTAAGATTCTTCTTTGCAATGTGGGAATTTGATTTGTTTTAGGTTGAGCTTGGAAAAGGTTTAGACAGATTTAATTTGCTATGCATGCTCGCAACGACTAATGTACGTCAATAATTTATTCTGCAGTTTTTGTTTGTTGGATTACTCCATTGCAGCAGAGGGTTTCCAGTGGCTTGTCAGGAGATTTTCAGTTTCACAGTAGCAGAAGAGATGATGGAGGAAAACCCAAAGCAAAACATGAAAAGAAATATTATGAAAGAGCCTTTATTTTCTCTGCTACAATAGTAGAACCCATTAGTGGATGCGAGAGAGATTCCCATAAAAGGCCAGTGTCCTGCTCGCAGACTCGGACAGCGGACTGTTTGTGTCTTTCTCTCTGTAAGCCCGTCTACATCAGAGCAGAGAAACAATGGAGATGACACGTTAATTAAAAGCTGACAGCCTACAAGAGGAGAGAGCTTTTTGGGGTCAGCAAAAAAAAAAAAAAAAAAAAAATCACAAAATGCGTGAAGAGGTGGTGACCCCTGTGGTACATTTCCTGTTGCTGACAGCTCAGTGTCTTTGAGTACCAGGATCTTTTTAGATGATCTGCTGGTGTTTGGAACCAACAGGGGAACAGCTCGCTTCGCTTAGCGACCCTTAGCTCTTGGCTTACAGAAGATCAAAACCCCGATCCTTTTTCTCTGATCAGTGAATACACCATTAAGTCTCAACTGGAGTCTCTTGAGTTTGGAAGTTGTTACTGAATGAAGCAAGCTCCAAGTCAACTATCTTAAAAATGAACTAGCTGATGGAAAATTAAGTTATTAGAAGCACAAAGGTGATTGTTATATTCTTGTTTAGGAAAGGGGGATTGCTGCAAAGTCAAAGACTTGATGCAGTTGGCTTGGTTTTCTTACACCAAAAACATTTTACCAGTTGCTTTCGTAGTATACTAAACTAGTGCCTTGAGAAGAGATGTGTTGAGAATTGGCCCATTGTGTCTAAGACCAATAGAGGAAGCTTCTTGAAAATGTGAGAGACATAGCAGCTGTTCATTCAGACTGCCAATTAATTTAAACGAGGAGGGAGATATAAATTGTGTCTGTTTTAAAACATTAGTGAAATCCTGTTTTATTTCAGTGTTGTCACACCATCTATATATTCTCTCAAACACACCCAGTGTGACATCGCCTCTCATCCTAACATGAATAAAATATTCATCGGTTAAGATGAAACGGTTCTTCAAATTAGAATTAATGAATCATTTTACATTCTAATACAACAGATAGAAAATCAGAGCTTTTTCTCTCAAACATTAGGTTATTTACTTTGAAATGTACATCTTAGATTGCATACTTCAAAATTTTTAGGTCGACATACGGAGGTATAGCTGTAGCATGACTGATAGCAAGGGAAGTGATTTAGAAAAATCAGATGCA